AGATTGTGTATATATATATATATATATATATATATATATAATTACGAAGAGAGGAAGAAGCGAAATAGATCCATTTGGTGACTTTTTCCAAACTCAAGCCCGACGACTCGTTTCCTCACCTTGCGATTGATCCTGTCGATTTGCCGATTCTGATTCTCCAGCTCGCTACCCATATCGATCGCCATGTTTCTCAGATTACCGATCATCGTGTTCACCTGGCCCATATTCTCCTCCATCTCCGTTTCGCGGGCGTCGTTCGTGATCTTGGCGATGTAACCGCCCTGAGGTCCAAGCCCGTTGCGATCGTCCATCACCCGTTGGGGCTGGTTGTTCACCACCTTACCGTCATCGTTTCCTTTCCACGTGCCCTCGTCCTCCTTGAAGCTGGCGCCTCTGTATAAGAAGATCGTTTCGTCAGTGTATATACAAATATATGTGGTGTATATATACATACACGATTCGAAAGTAAAGACACGTTAAAGACATTGAAGTTAGTAGCTTCAAACATTTTTTTTTTCTCTCTTAAGTATTTTCTCAAGAGATTGAGATCTTGTGGAAAAAGAAAAAGAAATGTCTTTGATCTTTTGTAATAATAAAAATAAAGGTTGAAGCGTTAATGTCGACGACATTTGCAAGAATTTGTTCTGTGTAGAGAGTGTGCTGGAAATAAAGAAATAAAGATTTGTAAGAGAGAGAGATGTGAGAGATGTGAAGAGGGGTAAAGCGATTTTTCGGGACAGCCCTACTTGTTGCATGGAAGAACGCAGAGGCCGCAGCACTTTTCCATTCCTGTCAGATTTTTCTCGGCCTCGCGCATGTCGGCGTTGATTTGGTCCATACCCTCCTCGATTCTGTCCAGTTGTTCTGTTTCATCGTACGAAAAAACAACGTTAACAACCATCCTGTAGGTATTTCCAAGCAGGAGTAAGTGTCTCGAAAGGGAATGGACAGTGAAAATAAAAAAATTCACGGTGTACACTCTACGTTTTGCTTGTAACTGAACACAAATTTATTTGCTAGAAAAGAAAAAAGAAAAAATCGAATTACACTCGAGAAAGGAGAAAGGAAAAAAGAGAAGAAAAAGAAAAAACAGGGGGAATACGCTGTCCCATTCTCTTTCGAGAATTATATATTTGTTCTCAAAAATTGAAGTGAATCGTCATTTTCTCGAGTTATCGAGGAATAGAGAGTTCTTTCATCCGCCATGCTTTCAATCAATTATTTCTATTTCTATTTTTCTTTCCTTTTTTTTTTATCAATAAATAAATTGCAAAATATTCTATCTACTCCTTGATCCTAAATGACGATTTAGGTGGTTTTATATATAATACTTTACGAGGATTCATCGAGAGATTCGTCATATATTACAATTAATAACGCTAACACGTCGATTTTTAAAATTTATTAAAGTCATCCAGTTCGTTCGAACTACGTTAAAAAAAAAAAAAAAAAAAAAAAAAAAAAAGAAAGCTCTATGTTAAAAATAGAAATATACATATATCATTCATCATCGCAGTTTCGTTATATAAATTAAATATCGTTGAAATGACTTTTTTTCTCTCAACGATCCCCGGAAAAGAAAAAAACGAGTGCAACGAAAGTGCAACAGCTAAGCAAAGAGTCTCCCTACTAAGGGTAACCTAAGATCCTAAGATTTGGGTGAGTAATTCTGTATGTATTGGGGTGTACGGTGGATTCTAAGGGTAGTGGGTACGAATTGAACAAAATATTATATTCACGTTGAGAGTAACGCGGTGATGCAAAATGTGCCGGTCAATAATATAACAATAGTATAATAAGATTGCAATAGGTTTTGACTTACACCGTGCCGGAAGTACCGGAGGGATGCGTTTAAACGTGGAGCGCGTGTCGTGCGACCCGATTACGTCTGTATCTCTTTATGACGTAATTTT